GAGTAATTTACTGGCAATTTACTGAAAATATACTGAGAATTTATAGGTAATTTACTTATTAATTTACTAGGAATTTGTACAATAATTTACTAAGAATTTACTGAGTAATTGTCTGGAGATTTATAAGAAATTTACTAAGTAATTTAATAAGAATTTATTGGGAATTTACTAAGTAATTTATAGAGAATTAATTAGGAATTTACTGACAATTTTACTGAAAATTAGCTGGGAATTCACTGAAAATTTAATGAGTAATTGATTGAAAATTCACAAGGAATTTATTGAGAATTTACTGGGAATTTACGGGGTAATTTTATGAGAATTTGCTGGGAATTAACTAATAATTTACTGAGATTTAACCGAAATTTACTAAGTAATGTACAGAGAATTTACTGGAAATTTACTGAGTAATTTTCATTGAATTTATAGGGAATTTACCGAGTAATTTAATGGGAATTTACTGAGTAATTTACGGGGAATTTACTGAAATTTACTGAGTATTTTACTAAGAATTTAATTACTGAGTAATTTACTGAGATTTTACTTGGAATTTACCGAGCAATTTATTAAGAATTTAATGGGAATTTACTGAGTAATACAGAGAATTTTGTGGAAATTTACTGAATAATTTAGTGGGAGATTGCTGAGTAATTTACTGAGAATTTAAAGATAATTTACAGAGTAATTTACTGAGAAATTACTTGGAATTTACTGAGTAATTTACTGAGAATTTTGTGGCAATTTACTAAGTAATTTAGTGGGAATTTGCTGAGTAATTTACTGAGAATTTAATGAGTAATATGCTGAGAATTTACTTGGAATTTACTGAGTAATTTACTATGAATTTACTGAGTAATTTACTGTGAGCTAGAATTTGCTTAGTAATTTGCTGAGAATTTATCGGAAATTTACTGAGTAATTTAATGGGAATTTAATGGGAATTTACAGAGTAATTTACAGGGAATTTACTGAGAATTTTATTAGTAATTTACTGAGAATTTCCTTAGAATTTACTGAGTTATTTACAGGGAATTTACTGAGTATTTTACTCAGAATTTACTTTCTGAGCAATTTACTGGGAATTTACTGAGAATTTAATGGGAATTTATAGATTAATTTACAGAGAATTTGCTAGGAATTTACAGAGTAATTTTCCGAGAATTTACAAGCAATTTACTAGGTAATTTACTAAGATTCAACTGGAATTTACTGAGTAATTTGTGGAGAGTTTACTGCGAATTTACTAGGAATTTACTAAGTAATTTATAGAGAATTAACTAGTAATTTACTGAGAATTTAATGAAAATTTACTAAGTAATTTATTGGGAATTTACTGGGAATTTAATGAGTAATTTACTGAAAATTAACAGAGAATTTGCTGAGAATTTACTGGGAATTTATGGAGTAATTTTTTGAGAATTTACTCAGAATTTACTTATAATTTACTGAGTAATTTACAGAGAATTTACAGGGAATTTACTGAGCAGTTTACTGAGAATTTACAGGGAACTTACTGTGTAATTTTCTTTGAATTTACTGGGAATTTACCAAGAATTTACTGCGTAATTTTCTAGGAATTTTCTTGGAATTTACTGAGTAATTTACGGAGAATTTACTTGGAATTTATTGAGTAATTTACCGAGTAATTTATTGGGAATTTACTGAGTATTTTACTGAAAATTTACTTATTGAGTACTTTACTAGAAATTGACTTATAATTTTCTTGAAATTTACTGAGCAATTTATTGAGAATTTAATGGAAATTTACTGAGTAATTTACTGAGAATTTTGTGGCAATTCACTGAGTAATTTAGTGGAAATTTGCTGAGTAATTTACTGAGAATTTACTAGGAATTTACTGAGTAATTTTTTGAGAATTTACTGAAAATTTACTCAAAATTTGTTGAGAATTTACTGGGAATTTGCTGAGTAATTTACTGAGTAATTTACTGAGAATTTAATTAGTAATATATTGAGAATTTACTGGTAATTTACAGAGTAATTTACTTGGAATTTAATGAGTAATTTATTAGGAACTTACTGGGAATTTACTAAGTAATTTATTGAGAATTTACTGAGTAATTTACTTGGAATTTAATAAGTAATTTATTGGGAATTTACTGAGTAATTTATTGATAATTTAGTAGGAATTTACTGAGAATTTATCGAGAATTTACTGATTAATTTACTAAGAATTTATTGGGAATTTACTGAGTTATTTACTGAAAATTTACTTAGAATATACTGAGTAATTTATTGAGAATTTACTATCAATTTACTATGTAATTTATTAAGTACTTACAGTGAATTTACTGGGAATTTACTGAGTAATTTACAGAGAATTTACTCGAAATTTACTAGGTATTTACTCAGAATTTATGGGAAATTTACTGAGAATTTACTAGGTATTTACTGAGAATTTGTTGGAAATTTTCTGAGTAATTTACTCGAAATTTACTCAGAATTTATTGAGTAACATACTGAGAATTTACAAGAAATTTACTAGGTAACTTAATCAGAATTAACTAGGAATTTACTGAGTGTTTTACTGAAAATTAACTGGGAATTTACTGAGAATTTACAGGAAATTTACTAAGTAATTTACTAAAAATTCAGAGAAAATTTACTGATAATTTACGGAGTAATTTATGGAGAATTTACTAAATAGTTTACTAAGAATTTACAAGGAATTTACTGTGTAATTTTCTTTGAATTTACTAGTAATTTACTGAAAATTTACAGGAATTTTCTGGGAATTTACGGAGTAATTTACTATGAATTTAATGAGTAATTTTCTAGGAATTTTTTGCGAAATTTACTAAGAATATATTTGGAATTTACTGAGTAATTTACTGAGAATTTACTGAGTAATTTACTTGGAATTTGCTGAGTAATTTACTAGGAATTTGCTAAGTATTTAATCAGAATTTACTTTCTGAGAAATTTACTAAAAATTTGCTGTAAATTTACTGAGAATTGAATGGGAATTTAAAGATTAATTTACTGGAAAATTACTAAGTAATTTAATGTCAATTTTCTTGCAATTTGCTGAGTAATTTACTGAGAATTTATTGGGAATTTACAGAGAATTTATAGGGAATTTACTGGCAATTTACTTAGTAATTTATTAAGAATTTACTGGGAATTTACTGAGTAATTTACTAAGGATTTACTGAGGATTCACTGAGTAATTTAATGAGAATTTACTGAGTAATTTTCTGAGAATTTATTGGAAATTTACTGAGTAATTTACTGAGTTATTTAATGGGAATTTACAGAGTATTTTACTCATAATTTACTTTCTGAGCAATTTACTGAGAATTTACTTGGAATTTACTGAGAATTTAATGGGAATTTACAGATTAATTTACTGAGAATTTACTGAATAATTTTCTGAGAACTTATTTGGAATTTACTGAGTAATTTATTAAGAATTTACTAGCAATTTAATGAGTAATTTACTAAAAATTGACAGGGAATTTGCTGAGAATTTACTGGGAATTTATGAAGTAATTTTTTGAGAATTTACTCGGAATTTACTTATAATTTACTGAGATTTAAGTGCAATTTACTGAGTAATTTACGGAGAATTTACAAGAAATTTACTGAGCAGTTTACTGAGAATTTACTGGGAACTTACTGTGTAATTTTCTTGGAATTTACTGGGAATTTACTAAGAATTTAATGCGAATTAACTGCGTAATTTTCTTGGAATTTTCTTGGAAATTTTTTTTTTTTTAGGTGAATAAGTCATAAATAAAAAAACAGAAGAAATACAGGAATACAAGGGGCATGCCCCAGGACCTAGCTAACTGTACAAACAAAAAGGGACAAAACAAAAGGAAGAAGAAAAGGAACAAAGAACTGTAAACAAAACAAGAAGCCCAACAGATAAGAGCAAATGACCTGTGAACAGACTGTAGAAAAAACCAAAAAAAAAACAAAAACTCGAACAGGATATCCCACTAGGATAACGCACCATAGCAGCTAAGCAATAACCCAGCGAACAAAACCAAACGCTAGAATATTCTTCATAGCAACAGCCAATAGCAAACCAGCGAGATTCATGCCAAAACACTTACCAAACCTGTTTAGCAGCCATCTACCATAGGGGTGATGAACAGGGAAAGAACCAACTTTGTAGCATAGACAAGAAGAAACCTAGCGAAGTCAACATGTCCAAAAGGCCAATTAGTCCTAACAAAAGAGAAAAAACCCTACACAGCCCGTAGGGATAGACAGATAACCATGCAAACTGTGTAACTCAAAACATAGACAAAGATCCAACTAAAATAATGAAAAACAAAGAAACAAAGAACGAAGACAAAGACAAAGAATTTCCAACTAGATTCCACCAGGTTTGGCGCACCAATGCAGCCTCAACCATGAGAGTCTTCAACCAGATACTGCAACCTATACAGCAGCAACGCAGCAAACACTACCTCCATAGATTAATAAAACCTGACAACTAAAACAATTGTAAGAACCTTGATAACCCCAATCCAATTCAAATTAGTCAACAGCAATTAAGCTATATATAATCTCGAATAAGGATATGAAAATAACGAAACCTGCAACAAATCTCACTCATATAAATTCCTTAGTTACTCAACCCACCAATAAAGGACACTCAACAATTAATAGCAGGTTAGAGAAGAAACCTAATAACCAACAATTTATACACTTAATCACTCAACCCTCGATAATGGAATTCCCTAAAAAATTATACCAGCATATGTACCTGCAGCAGCATTAGAAATTATTATAGGGCTATTTCCACTCAACCCATACCTCACAACTCTCCTCACAGAATGTATGAACTCACTATACTCAACCCTCCAATTGCTATACTCATACCTCCACTAGATAGCCTGCAATCTGCAACAACACACATTAGAACCAAACAGATATAAAGATTAGATTTAAAACCTCACTATCTGGCTTGCATCACTAGGCCCTCTTATACTAGCTCACCAACAACTCAACCCACAACACACCACTCATTTAAGGATAGAGGCAGGAAGCCTCCACTCATGGAGGAACCATTCATCAGTTTGAGTCCTTTTGATGTTGGAGATAGCCAAAAGTCTATATCTGACAAGAGAAACAATGCCTTTGACCACCGCATCTTCAGGTTTCCTTTCATGGGAAAATATTCTATTATTTCTTTCCAGCCATATATGATAGAGTGAGCTACAGAAGCTCAATCTTCTAATGATTGTGGCTAAGGATTTACCTTTACAGTCAGCAGCCACAACCTGAGGCAGGTCACTCCATGGAATATTCTGCCAATTTACTTGGCATTTGTCTTGGATGACAATCCATACTCGCAATGTAAACGGACATTGAAAGAAAAGATGTTGGTGATCTTCCCCATTATGAGTACAGAATTGACAATTGGATACCCCATTAATGCCAAAGGTTGCAAGTCTATCCCCAGTATTCAATCTCCCTAGGATAGCCATCCAAACAACAAAGCTAGCTTTAGGGATGTTGTAAGGACCCCACAAAATATCAGCCCAAGATACCTTAGGCCACTTTTTTCTCCATAGATTCCAAACAGACCCAATAGTAAACAACCCATTCTTATTGGGCAGCCAGATGATCTCATCTCTACTACCGATGGTTGGCACCATGATAGGAGGAGAGTGCCCCACAATTTCCTTCACTTGCCAAGAGGAAGCGTTAGGCCAATGCCAACCAGTAACAGATATCATAGAGTCAACCTTGGATTGGCTCGGGAGACCAGTATCATACCCCAATCTAGCACCATACTTCTCCCACGGGGAACCAAAAGAATGCCAATTATCATGCCAAAGGAAAACCTTGTTACCAAGACCAACCACCCATTTAACAAGGGGGTAGATCCTTTCTCTCAATGATAGTAACTTCCTCCAAACCCAGGAATGATTACTCGGGGTTTTGATACCCCAAAACAATTTCCTTTTAAGAGGTATGATTTAACCCATTGGCACTACATAGACTACTCACCACCCGAGATTAAGAACCAGACATGTTTAGACATAGCAGCCTTATTCCACACCTCCATATTTTTAAACCCAAGGCCCCCTTCTTTGACAGGAGCACAAATTTTATCCTAAGCCACTTTAGCACCAGTTTGTTTAAGTTCCAAACCAGTCCAAAGAAAAGCTCTACATAATGACTCAATCTGTTTAATCACCTTTTTTGGAAGGATAAAAAGAGAGGACCAGTAAACTTGCATAGAGAATAAGATAGTCTTGATAAGCTGGGCCCTCCCAGCATAAGACAAGACCTTGAGAAAATTCTCAGTAAATTACTAATTAAATTCTCAATAAATTCCTAGTAAATTCTATGTAAATTACTCAGTAAATTTCTGGTAAATTCTCAGCAAATTACTAAGTAAATTCCAGTAAATTCTCAGTAAATTCACAGTAAATTCTCAATATATTACTCATCAAATTCTCAGTAAATTACTCAGCAAATTCCCACAAAATTACTCAGTAAATTGCCACAAAATTCTCAGTAAATTACTCAGTAAATTCCTAGTAATTTCTTAGTTAATTACTCTGTAAATTCTCTTTAAATTCTCAGTATATTACTCATTAAATTCTCAGCAAATTGCTCAGCAAATTCCCACTAAATTATTCAGTAAATTACCACAAAATTCTCAGTAAATTCACAGTAATTTTCAGTAAATTACTCAGTAAATTTCCATTAAATTCTTAATAAATTGCTCAGTAAATTCCAAGTAAAATCTCAGTAAATTTCCAGCAAATTACTCTGTAATTAAATTCTCAGTAAAATACTCAGTAAATTCCCAGTAAATTTCAGCAAATTACTCGGTAAATTCCCAGTAAATTACTTAGTAAATTCCCAATAAATTCTCAGTAAATTCCCTGTAAATTCAATGAAAATTACTCAGTAAATTCCCAGTAAATTCTCTGTACATTACTTAGTAAATTTTGGTTAAATCTCAGTAAATTATTAGTAAATTCCCAGCAAATTCTCAAAAAATTACCCCGTAAATTCTCAATAAATTCCCTGTGAATTTTCAGTAAATTACTCATTAAATTTTCAGTGAATTCCCAGTTAATTTTAGTAAAATTATCAGTAAATTCCTAATTAATTCTCTGTAAATTATTTAGTAAATTCCCAGTAAATTCTTATTAAATTACTTAGTAAATTTCTTATAAATTCTCAAAAAATTACTCAGTAAATTCTTAGTAAATTATTGCGCAAATTCCCAGTAAATTAATAAGTAAATTACCTGTAAATTCTCAGTAAATTCCCAGTATATTTTTAGTAAATTGCCAGTAAATTCACGGTAAATTACTCAGTAAATTACTCAGTAAGTTCCTCGTAATTTTTCAATAATTTCTCAGTAAATTACTCAGTAAATTTCCAGAAAAATCTCATTACATTACTCAATAAATTCCCATTAAATTCTCAATAAATTACTCAGTAAAATGCCATTAAATTCTCAGTAAATTACTCAGTAAATTTCCCGTAAATTCTAGGTAAATTACTCTGTAAATTCCAAGTAAATTAATCACTAAATTCCAAGTAAATTCTCAGTAAAATACTCAGTAAATTCCCTGTCAATTACTCAGTAAATTCCTAGTAAATTCTCAGTAAATTACTCGATAAATTCCTAGTAAATTATCAGTAAATTACTCAGCAAATTCCCTGTAAATTCTCAATAAATTGCTCAGTGAATTATCAATAAATTTTTAATAAATTACATAGTAAATTTCTAGTAAATTCTAAGTAAATTACTCAGTAAATTCCCAGTAAATTCTCAGTAAATTACGCAGTAAATTTCCAGTAAATTCTCAGTACCCTTCTTAGTAAAATCCCAGTAAATTCTCAGTAAATTAATCCATAAATTCCCAGTAAATTCTAAATAAATTACTTAGTAAGTAAATTCTCAGAAAAACACTCAGTAAATTCCCAGGAAATTACTCAATAAATTCCCAATAAATTTCAGTAAATTACTCAGCAAATTCTAAGTAAATTCTCAGTAAATTACCCAGTAAATTACCAGTAAATTACTCAGTAAATTCCCAGTAAATACTCAATAAATTCTCAGTAAATTTCTCAGTAAATTCCTAGAAAATTACTTAGTAAATTCACAGTAAATTCTCTGTAAATTCCCAATAAATTCAAAGAAAATTACTCAATAAATTTTCTGTAAATTCTTAGTAAATTACTCAGTAAATTCTCTGTAAATTCCCTCTGAGTGTTCAGTAAATTACTCAATAAATTCCCCGTATATTCTAAGTAAATTACTCAGTAAATTCCAAGTAAATTCTTAGTAAATTAATCACTAAATTCTCCATAAATTCTCAGTTAGTAAACTCTCAGGAAAATACTCAGTAAATTCCCAGTAAATTTCGAGTAAATTCTCAGTAAATTACTCAGTAATATCCTAGAAATTATCAGTAAATTACTTAGTAAATTGTCAGTAAATTCTTAGTAAATTACTCAAGAAATTCCCAGTAAATTACTCAGTCAATTCCCAGGAAATTCTTAGTAAATTACTCATTAAATTCCCAATAATTCCTTAGTTAATTCCCTCTAAATTTTCAGTAAATTACACAGTAAATTCTTCGTAAATTTCAGTAAAATCTCAGTAAATTACTCAGTAAATTATCAGTAAATTGCCTGTAAATTCAAAGTAAATTTTTACTAAATAAACAAGAAAATTACAAGTAAATTCTCAGTAAATTCCCAGTATCTTTTAAGTAAATTGCCAGTAAATTACTTAGTAAATTCCCGATAAGTTCTCAGAAAATTATTCTGTAAATTCCCATTAAATTCTAAGTAAATTCTCAGTAAATTGCTCAGAAAGTAAATTCTAAGTAAAATACTCTATAAATTCCCATTAAATAACTCAGTAAATTCCCAATAAATTCTCAGTAAATTACTTAGTAAATTACTCAGTAAATTCTCAGCAAATTAATCAGTAAATTCTCAACAAATTCTCAGTAAATTACTCAGTAAATTCTTAATAAATTGCTAGTAAATTCTCAGTAAATTTCTCAGTAAATTCCCTATAAATTCTCTGTAAATTCCCAATAAATTCTCAGTAAATTACTCAGCAAATTCCCATTAAATTCTTCAGAAATTAGTTAGTAAATTGCAAGAAAATTCACATTAAATTACTCAGTAAATTCCCAGTAAATTAATCTGTAAATTCCCATTAAATTCTCAGTAAATTACAAGTAAATTCTCAGTAAATTGCTCAAAAAGTAAATTCTGATTAAATACTCAGCAAATTCCCAGTAAATTTCAAATAAATTCTCAGTAAATTACGCAAAAAATTCCAAGAAAATTACTCAGTAAATTCACAGTAAATTACTCCGTAAATTCCCAAAAAAATCCTGTAAATTTTCAGTAAATTACCAGTAAATTGAAAGAAAATTACTTAGTAAATTCCCTGTAAATTCTCAGTAAACTACTTAGTAAATTCTACATAAATTACTCAGTTAATTCCTGTTAATTTTGAGTAAATTATCAGTAAATTCCCAGTAAATTCTCACAAAATTACTCCGTAAATTATCAGTAAATTTCCTCTGAATTCTTAGTAAATTTTCAGTAAATTACTTAGTAAATTCTCAGTAAATTCTCAGTAAATTCACAGTTAATTTTCAGTAAAATACTCAGTAAATTTCTTGTAAATTCTCAGTATGTTGTTCAATAAATTCTGAGTAAATTCCAAGTAAATTACTCATAAAATTCCCAACAAATTCTCAGTAAATACCTATCAAATTCTCAGTAAATTTCTCGTAAATTTTGAGTAAATACCCAGTAAATTCTCTATAAATTACTCAGTAAATTCCTAGTAAATTCACTATAAATACTTAATAAATTACATAGTAAATTGATAGTAAATTCTTAGTAAATTACTCAGTATATTCTAAGTAAATTTTCAGTAAATAACTAAGTAAATTCCCAATAAATTCTTAGTAAATTAATCAGTAAATTCCTGGTAAATTCCCAGTAAATTGCTCAGTAAATTCTCAGAAAATTACTCAGTAAATTCTCAATATATTACTCATTAAATTCTCAGTAAATCACTCAACAAATTCCCACTAAATTACTCAGTAAATTACTTAGTAAATTTCCCTTAAATTCTGAATAAATTGCTCAGTAAATTTTAAGAAAATTCTCAGTAAATTACTCAGTTAATTTTCAGTAAATTTCTCAGTAAGTAAATTCTCAGTGAAATACTCAGTAAATTCCCAGTAAATTCCTAGTAAATTTCAGTAAATTACTCATTAAATTCTCGGTAAATTACTCAGTAAATTCCAAGTAAATTCTCCGTAAATTACTCAGTAAATTCCAAGAAAATTCCTAGAAAATTACGCAATTAATTCGCAGTAAATACCCAATAAATTCAAAGAAAATTACATAGTAAGTTCCCTGTAAATTCTCAGTAAACTACTCAGTAAAATCCCTGAAAATTCTCTATAAATTACTCAGTAAATTGCAGTTAATCTCAGTAAATTATAAGTAAATTCGGAGTAAATTCTCAAAAAATTACTCCATAAATTCCTAGTAAATTCTCAGCAAATTCCCTATCAATTTTCAGTAAATTACTCATTAAATTCCCAGTAAATTCCCAGTAAATTTTCATTAAATTCTCAGTAAATTCCTAGTTAATTTTCAGTAAAATTCTCAGTAAATTCCTAGTTAATTCTCTGTAAATTACTTAGTAAATTCCTAGTAAATT